CTGACGCTCTATCCATTGAGCCAAACCGGTCTCGGCAGAAAAGACTAATTTTTCTTAAGTATTCAGAGAAACCTGATAATGACAAAACATAGAATCCTTTTCTAGGCAGATTATATTAAAACAAAGTAAAACCTTTGTTTATAATTTTTTATTTTATTTTATTTTTTTTATTTATTTATTTTTTTTTTTGTTTATAATTTTTTAAAAATTGATTTGTATATTATCTAATGTTAGGGTGTAACTTTCATTCTTTTGCATGTGGATATCCAGTTTTCCCTGCATTATTTGTTTGAAAGCCTGCCCTCTCCCCGCTGGTCTTGGCACCTTCCTGAAAATTAATTAACCACATGTGTGAAGGTTATTCTAGACTCTTTATTCCATTCATCTGTATGTCTGTCCTTATCCCAGTATGACAGTTTTGATTACTACAGCTTTATAGCAAGTTTTTAAATTAGGAAATGTTGGTCCTTCAATTTTACTCTTTCTTCTCAATATTGACTGGGCTCCTTGATATTCCATGTGAATTTTAGGATGGATTTTCTATCTTTTGCAAAAAATGCCATTGAGATCTTGATAGAGAATGCTTTGAATCTATGGATTGCTTTGGCTAATGTTGTAATCTCAATCATTAAACCTTCCTATCCTCCAATCCATGAATATAGGATGTCTTTCCATTTATTTATGTGTGCTCAACTTCCTTTCTGTAATGTTTGGTAGTTTTCAGTGGATAAGTCTGTCCCGATGGCAAAATTTATTCCTAAATATTTTATTCTTTTTGATGCTATTGTAAATTAAGTGCTTTTCTTAATTTCCTTTTCAGATTGCTCATTGTTAATGTATAGAAATGCATTCAAATTGAGGGTGAATCCTTGCTGAGTTTATTATTATTTTGAGTGGAATCTTGAGAGTTTTCTATATATAAGACCATGTTATCCTCAAACAGGTTACTTTGCTGCTTCTTTCCCAGTTCATTTCTTTCATTTCTTTTTCTTGCCTGCTTACTTTCCAATATTTTGTTGGATAGAAATTTTTCTGGAGGTGCATGAATGCTCAGGGCACCATTTCTTATAACTGGAAGTGACTCAAATGTCATTGGTAGTGAAACAGTTAAGTCATGCAATGGAATCCTCTATTCCAATGAAAATGAACCAAATAGGGCTACTGCATAGACATGGGTGAATGTGAAGTATGTAATATGAAGCCAAAATGGAAGCCACCAAAAATACATACCATATGGTTCTATTGATAGAAGTTCAAAACAGGCAAAACTATCAGTAAATAATATGTGACTTCAGGACAGTACTTAAACACTCACAAAACCATATTTAAAAAAGAAAAGGAGTGGGAAGCACCAAATTCAAGAGAGTGCTTAACCTTTAGGGGGGAGAGAGGGAGGTGTAAGGGAGAATAGGCACTTCATGGCTATTGGTAATATTCCAATTGTGAAGCTGGTGGTAAGTCCATGGATGAGTGTTACATCCATGTTATCATTGTATCTTATATAGTAACTTTAAGTGCAATTGGGGTGACTTTACTAGAGCTTTAGTAAGTGTGGTTGATCTTTTCAGGATTTAATCTCTAAGGTATCATGGGCCTGACAGATCCATAAACCAAATTCTTCTTGGGGGAAGATTTTGACTGTTTCCTTTTTTAAAATTTATTTTTTATTGATTTCAGAGAGGAAGGGAGATGGAGAGAGAGATAGAAACATCAATGATGAGAAAGAATCATTGATCGGCTGCCTCCTGCACACCCCCTACTGGGAATTAAGCCTTATAACCTGGGCTTATGCCCTAACTGGGAATTGAACCATGACCTCCTGGTTCATTGGTTGATGCTCAAACCACTTAGCCAAACTGGCTGGGCCTGGTCAACTATTTTCAAGGTGAATAAAGGGATAGCTTCACCTGAAGACTGGATTGGTTATTTTTTTTAATTTCAAATGCCTCCTGTCACTCCAACATGCAGGATGAGCTGCACAGGGCTCATCAGACTAGTCTGTTATGATCTGACGGCAGCTGCTCAAATGAAGACACGGCTTACCCTCCTTCCTTTGGTAGCCTGGCCAGACATTGTTAACCTGAGTCTGTGATGTTGGTTCCTAGGAGGAACACCGAACAGGCAACTCCCTGAGCGGTGGTTCTGTGATGTGGACAAAGAAATGCAGCCTGGATTACTTAGCCCTGGACTTCAATTCATCGTCACCAGCTCCTGTACAGCAGGTAGGATGGACTTTATGTCTGAGAATTCCCATATTTCATTTCTGTTCAGATTTTTCTGATGATTCAACCATGTGTGTTCTCTTTGCAAAATCTTAAGCATACAGACATGTACAGTGAAGAATATTAAAACCAATCCTGATTCTGCCTCCCAGAAATCCTGTTGTATTCTCTCTAGGTTATATTCTTTGGATGTATCGGCAGACCTGTGTGTGTGTGTGTGTGTGTGTGTGTGTGTGTGTGTGTGTGTGGGTGTGTATGTAGAAAAAAAAGTCTGGAAAACTTCCCTTTCCTTTGAGGGATGAATTCCCATTTGTCCTTTACCTCTAATTTCATTCCAAAAACCTGAACTGATATTCCAGAAAAGCTGCTCAGAAAGGTGAGACCAATAAGTGAAAAAGATGCATTAGTCTGTTCTGGGAGGCTATTCAGTCAAGACAAACATCCCCCAAATCTCAGTGTCTTGCAACAGAAAAGGCTTTTTCGGTTGTTGCTACTGGAACAATCCACTACTGGTATTCTGGGTCATCTTCAAGCCAGGGCCCAGGCAGAAGGAGCAACTCTAGCTGAGGCAAGCTGATCTCCCGGCAGGGGAAAAGGAGGGACTGCAAAATCACAGGGTGCCTTTTTTCCCTAGCAGGGGTGGGAACCTTTTTCTGCCAGGCGCCATTTAAATATTTATAACACCATTCTCGGGCCATACAAAATTATAACCTTGAAAATGAGCCTGCTAGATGACTGGATCAAAAAACTATGGTACATCTACACAATGGAATACTATGCTGCCATAAAAAAGAAGGATTTCTCACCATTTGCAGCAACCTGGATGGAATTGGAGAACATCATGCTGAGTGAAATAAGTCAGTCAATGAAAGAGAAACACCACATGACCTCACTCATTTGTGGATAATAAAGAACATTATAAACTGATGAACCAAAAGATAGATATAGAGACAGTAAATCAACAAGCAGACTGTCAAATTACAGTGGGGAGGGGAGGAAGATCTGGGGGAGATAATAGATCAACCGAAGGACTTTTATACATGCATATAAGTATAACCAATGGACATAAAACTCTGGGGAGGGAGGGGATATGTGGGAGGAAGGGAGGGGGGCAAAAAAAAATCAATAAAATATATTAAAAAAATAATAATAAAAATAAAAAAATAAAATAAAAATCTTCTATTCCAAAAAAAAAGAAAGAAAAAAAAAAGAAAAAGAAAAAAAGTAAATGAGCCTGCTATATTTGTACAAACATTTAATTAACTCACCCCTAATGCCTTGACAGGGCCTGGCCAAATGATTTCATGGGCCGTATATGGCCCTCGGGCCCGATGTTCCCCATCCTTGCTTTACAGGATTGGCATGTGTCACTTGCACTCACATTATATTAGTCAAAGTAAGCCAGATGGCTAGAGCGAAGTTGAAGGGAGCAGAGGTGAAGAGCTATTCATATGCACACACAAGCTTACACAAGATATAATAATGCTTCTGCAGAGAATGATCCAGAAAGAAGGGGTAGCAAATACTTAACGCTGGAATATTCCGTGGAAAGACTGACCTTTTCCCGAATTTTTTATTGAATGTAACGAAAACCTTTTTGTTTCCCCCCTTCAGAAACTTCTCCTTTCTGAAGAGCAAAGAGTAGACTATGTCCAGGTGGATGAGCAGAAGACGCAAGCTCTCCAGAACACAAAGCAGGAGTGGACCGACGAGAGGCAATCGAAAGTGTAAGTGCCGTGGGCTTGGACCTGTGTGACCCAGGGAAGCGTGGGGCTGGCTTTGAGGGTTTTCCCTCCAATCACACCGATGTTCCACACAGGTCACGATGCAGAGAGAACTTGTAATGTCCGTGGGCTTGGCAAGAACCCGTGGGAGAGAGGATCTGTTTGTGTACATTCGACGGGGAGAAGACGGAAGCAGCATCTTCCCGGAGGGGGCTGCGATGGAGCCCAGCCCCTCTACACACCACCACCTGTCACATTAGTTTCCTCCTTTGTCCACACCGGCCCGTGCCCAGAGCCTCAGGGATGCAAAGAGCTGGCTCTACAGTCACAAGAGGCGGAGATGGAGGATTGCACGGCCATGGACTGGCATGGAGAAAACTTCATTCATTCAAACAGGGTAGGAACAATCAAAACAAAACTCGAGAGACTATTTTCAAAGAGTTTGGTGACAAATCTCTCCAGTGGAGGATTTGGAGTGCAGATCGTAAGCCAGTATTCCTAACTGACCCGAAGACATCCTTTGACTCCAATACCTGAAATGGACCTCTCTTCCCCCATGCTTCTGCTGACATGATACATTTTCCCAGCAGAGAAGCCCCTGGAGACCACTGTGTCCTAGCTCCCGAGGACACAGCTGAAGAGATCAAGCCAGCAATGATGGGAGAATCTGCACTCCTTCCTCCAGCAGATAGATCGTTGTTATCCCCCAAAGAAAGACAATTTAAGTGACCAGGCAATGATTCCTGGGCTCTGCGGTGGCCATATCAGAGGACAACAGTGGCTCTGAGGATGTCGTGGTTTAAGCAGCTACCTGTGGCCCGGTATCCCATTGCTGTTGACCTGTTTCCGGCATGTTTTCACGTGTATCATCGCCTCTTACCCCTAAAAGACCCCGGAGGCTCTGGTTGGCAGAAACTGTTGCTCCCACTTGAAGAAAAGCAAACAAGGGCCAGAGAAGGGCACACCTAGCCCACGATCACTCATGGAGCCGAGACATAGAATCGGATTTAAATAGCGTTGGCCAGGCTGCCCATTGCAGGTTCATTCTACCATCTCACACTGACTCTGAGGGTTTAAAAAAAAGACATATATTGATTTCAGAGAGGAAAGGAGAGGAAAGAGAGATAGAAACATCCATGATGAGAGAGAAACATTGATAGGCTGCCTCCTGTACACTCCACTCCGGGGATCGAGCCTGCAACCCGGGCATGGGCCCTTGATTGGAATGGAACCTGGGGCCCTTCAGTCTGCAGGCCAACGCTCTATCCACTGAGCCAAACCAGCCAGGGCGACTCTGCGGATTTTGATGACATTGATCAGTTTGGTCAAACTTGAGCCAAGTGGGAAGCACGCACAGGACCTGAGACGAGGCATCATCTCCTCTCCCTTTCATAGGCTTTTGAGCAGGTGCTTTTATACTTGAAAGGTATGCGTGTCCAGCCAGGGTTTCAGACGTGGAACTCTAACATAAGCAGTATTTACCATGAGAAATACCTCCTGACGACCAGTGCAAAACCATTCTTGGATTGCGCGGTCCCCTTGCGACGTGTTTCCCATAAGCTGGCGAATGCTGGTGGAAGACTTTTTGCCACTTTGGGAAGCCACAAATTGTCCCTGACTATCTTATGCTTTTCAGTGATAGAGTTATGATTAGGAAAAAAAGCAAAAAACCACAAACAAACAAAAACAATGAGCTGCATCCTCACGTTTCCTGGCTCGTTTCCCCCTCTGTTTATGGGATACTGAAGTTCGGGGCACTTGGACGAAAATCACACTCGCCCATGAGGCTGTACTTAATCCTTCCTCATCCTTCTGAGCACCTGTGGCCAGAAGACAGATCGGGACACCTGGGAAGGAAGCAACTTCCGGAACATTTTCACCGACACTGTGCCCTCTGTGTGAGGCTGGATCCAATAGGCAGGCGGGTCTGTGACGGTCAGGGTTACACAGGGCAGCTGTAGGCTTTGCTGCGTGGTTTTGGGGTTTCAGAATGCCCTGCCAGTAAGTAAATGCCAAAGACTTGTTTGTTTAGATCATAAAAGAAGTAATTTTGATGTTAAAAGCAGCAGGACCTGGTCATATCATCTTCCTGGAGCAAGGTGGGGGGAAGTGCTGAGTTTTTTTGTTTTGTTTGTTTGTTTGTTTTTTTATTGATTTCAGAGAGGAAGGGAGAGGGAGAGATAGAAACATCAATGCTGAGAAAGAATCATTGATCAGCTGCCTCCTGCACACCCCACACTGGGGATCAAGCCTGCAACCTGGGCATGTGCCCTGACTGGGAATCGAACCATGATCTCCTGGTTCACATGTCAACACTCAACCACTGAGCCACGCTACCTGGGCCTGCTGAGTTCTTTAACTAAGTCGAGTCCTTAGTGAGCCCAAACAGCAACAAGAGGGCTCCTCTCACCCCTTGGCCAGCTCCACATCATTACACAGGAGGTTGGAGCCTGTAAAGAGCCGCCTTCTCTGTGATTTGCAAGGAGTCACAGAGCTTCCGGCAAGAATCCCAGGCTGCTGATTGCTAGCTCCCATAGAGCAGGGGTGGGGAACGTCTGGCCCGCGGGCCGTATAAGGCCTGTGAAATCATTTGGTCTGGCTCTGCCAAGGCATTAGGGGTGAGTTAATTAAACATTTAACCAAATATAGCAGGCTACTTTTTATATTTTTATTGATTTCAGACAGGAGGGGAGAGGGAGAAAGAAATAGAAATATCAGTGATGAGAGAGAATCATTGATCGGCTGCTTCCTGCACGCCCCTCATTGGGGATTGAGCCCACAGCCCAGGCATGTACCCTGACTAGGAATCAAACTGTGACCTCTGAGATTTCCGCCCCTCCCCCACAGAAATCATCCCAGATTCCATCTGAGTCAAGTGCACACGGCACGCCTGGACACTGTGCAGGGTGCTCCTTCTAGAAGACTTGGGAATCAACGGAATTAATTAATTAATTAATTAATCCCACATTGTTTTCCGCAGTTCCTTGTTTTGTTTGTTTCCTTCTGTCTCATTTTGTTAGAAAATTCCTCCGGATCGGGACGTGTGAAGGGTCTCAAGCCTATAAGTCCCTGAGAACTTGGGGAGATAAGTTTTTCTTGAGATGGGATGAGCTCTGAGGCCCAGCACACAGACCGCTACAAAGGCGTGGAGGGAGGCTGTGGGAGTCAGTCGGTGGAGCAAGGATCAACTGAATTGACACCTCGAGGTCTCACTTGGGGCTGAAGGCTCCCCACAGGCCTGCTTTCTCTTCTCAAGACCTCCTCAGTCCCCATTCATGCCGTCTTTATACCCACGATTATACTGATGTTAAAAAAAAAATCCATTGTGTTTTTACTATTTCGTTTCTGGCATTAATAAAGTTTTGTAAGGAGGAATCGTGACTTAAGTTCCTTATTTGTTTACGATGATGGCATTTGGTATAAACATAGAACACGTTTTGAAAGTTGAGAATGTGAAATAGATTGCTGTTTTCAATCGCAACAGACTTAAGAACCAACTCATGTGGAGTGACTGACATCCGTGCTATTTCACTGCAAGCAATTGAGCAGGTGGCAGTAATGAGTACTGCTTTTGCTCTGCCAAACCATGTCTTTTAAAATATTTTTTAATTGATTTCAGAGAGAAAGGAAGAGGGAGAAATAGAAACACCAATGATGAGAGAGAATAGTTGATCAGCTGTCTCTTGCACGCCCACACTGGGCATGGAGCCTGCAACCAGGGCCTATGCCCTGACTTGGAATCGAACCGAGACCTCCTGGTGCATAGTTGGATGCTCAACTACTAAGTCGCATGGCTTGGTTCAGCCAAACCATATCTTGACATCTTTTAAAAAATATATATTTCATTAATTTTTTACAGAGAAGAAGGAAGAGGGATAGAGAATTAGAAACATTGATGAGAGAGAAACATTGATCAGCTGCCTCCTGCACACTCCCTACTGGGTATGTGCCTGCAACCAAGATTCCTGCCCTTGACTGGAATTGAACCTGAGACCTTTGAGTCCGCAGGCTGACGCTCTATCCACTGAGCCAGACTGGTTAGGGATTGACATCTTTTTTCTTCATCAGACACAAGCTTTGATAATTGGCAATAAAGAGTGGGTGTGAGGTGGGGGGATGGGACAAGAGTGATACATTCAACAATAAAGATAAATTGGGATGGAGAGAGAAAAAGGAACCCTCCTTCATTGCTGGTGGGAAGACTGGTGCAGCCACTGCAGAAAACAGTATAGCATTTCCTCAAAAAATTAAAAATGGAACTTTCATTTGACCCAGTAAACCCACTTCTAGGAATATATTCCAAGAAAGCAAACACCAATCAGAAAGGACATATGCACCCCTATATTCATTGCAGCACAATTTACAATAGCTAAGATTTGGAAACAGCCTCAGTGCCCATCAGCAGATGAATGGATTAGAAAACTGGTACATCTACACAGTGGCATACTACGCTGCTGTGAAAAAGAAGGAATTCTTAACATTTGCAACAGCATGGATGGAACTGGAGAGCATTATGCTAAGTGAAATAAGCCAGGCAGTGAAAGAAAAATACCACATGATCTCACCCATTTGTGGAATATAATGAACAACATAAACTGATGAATAAAAATAGATACAGAGGCAAAGAAGTATAGAACAGACTGTCAAACTATAGTGGAAAGGCTTTGGGAGGGTGGAAGGGGGAGGTAAGAGATCAACCAAAGGACTTGTATGCGTGCATAAAAGCATTAACCAACGAATGCAAGACACGCAAGACATGGGGGGGGGGGCATATATAGCGCGGGGGAGGAGGGGAGGGGAGGCCAGGGGAAGGTCAATGGGGATAAAAAGGAGACACATTTACTACTATTTGTAAAGCTCAAATCAATAAACTAAAAAACAGCCCTAGCCGGTTTGGCTCAGTGGCTAGAGCATCAGCCTGGTGACTGAAGGGTCCCAGGTTTGATGCTGGTCAGGGGTACATGCCCAGGCTGCAAGATTGATCCCCAGCAGGGGGTGTGCAGGAAGCAGCCAATCAGTGATTCTCTCATCATTGATGTTTCTATCTCTCCATTCCTCTCTGAAATCAATAAAAATATATATTTAAAAAATAAAAACAATTGCAAATTAAAAAAATATATAACTGGCAATAAGGTCAAGGGCCTTCTCTGATACCACGTGCAACATGGCTTTCCTCATTAGTGATGTTAAAAGGCCCTTGGCCTTCCTGTCCCCACCAGGAGTCTCTTATACCACCACCTACCTTTTCTCTGAGAAGCTCTGGGTGCTGCTGACTCAGCGGCATCTCCAGGGCAGGAAGTAAGGCAGGGACAACCAGAGAAGTGGGGGCTCAGGTTTGGGGGACACGGGCCAGAGGCAAGAGAGGAAACAGGCCCAGGGAATCCTGGCTGAGAGAAAGGAAGGGAAGCCTCATGAAATTCCTCATTTTGGTGAAGTATGAGACCGACCACCTGAATGCTTTTACCTGACACACCTCAAACCAAGCTCTTGAGCCAAAGAAGAGTAGGTTGGCCCTCAAGGCTGACCTGAAAAGCAGGTTGTGAAACCTAACCTAAAAGGTCTTTGAACCTCAGGCCCCTTAAACCGTAGTCCTTTTACTCTATCAGACACTTCCTTAAGTCTCCAGCTTCCTGCTTCTTTATTTTGTTTGATCTTCAGTTGCATTATATGTATGCTAGAGGCCGGATGGACAAAATTTATGCATTCAGGAGAGGGTCCCTCAGCTCGACCTGTGCCCTCTCGCAGTCTGGAAGCCCTTGGGGGATGTCCAACTGACAGCTTAGGCCCACTCCCTGTGAGGAGCGGTCCTAAGCTGGCAGTCCAACATTCTTAGCAGTGCCACTGAGGTGGGAGAAGCCATGAGCCCGGCTTCTGACTAAGCAGCACTTCCACTGTGGGAGCGCACTGACCACCAGGGGGCAGCTCCTGCGTTGAGCATCTGCCCCCTGGTGGTCAATGTGCATCATAGTGACCGGTGGTTCTGCCATTTGGTCGATTTACATATTAGCCTTTTATTATATAAGATTTTACACTAATAAAAGCCTAGGGCCTTCACGATTGTTGGGAGGATGGAACAGTGGACCCCTGGCCGTAGGAGTGATCTGTGGGGCCCAGGCCGCTGGGGCGTGGCGGCAAAAACCACCACTCCACCTCTCTGTCCCTTCCCTAGCTGGCAGTTCCCACTCCCCAATGGCAAATGGGGAACCAGGGGTGGGTGGCAAGGGACGTGGGCTATGCCAGGCCAAGGCCTCCACCCCGCCAGTGCCCCCCCCCCCCACACACACAGAGGGTGACCCTCAGTTGGGGTGGGCCCGCAAGCGGGTGAGAAAGGAGGAATGGAGGACCTCTCGGACCTCTCGGTCCCTCCCCCTTCAGGCTCCAATACCCAATGGC